TACATGCCCACAAACTGAAACACGTCCCTCACAGAAACGTGAACATGTATGTTTAGAGCAGCATTAAGAAAAGCCAAATGTGGAAAACATCCAAGTATCCCCCAGTTGGAACACATCAACCAGATGTAGTACATCTGACAACCACACAGAAAGCTCAACAGAGCAGTGTGCCCTACATCATTGCTGAGGAAGCATTATGCTGACTGGAAGAAGGCAGGCAGGACAGACCTCCCAAAGCAGCGAGGTGTAGTAGCTCACATCTGTAATCCCAGCATTCAGAAGGCGGTAACAGGAGAATCTCGAGTTCCAGGCCAGCCTGAATTACATAGCAACACTCTGTCTCAACAGAATAAAACAAAAAAACCCATATAATCTGATTGTCTATATAAAATAGCCCAAATAAATTTATTGGGACAAAATAGATTGATTAACGGTTGTCGAGGGCTGTGGATGGGAATAAAAGTCTGCCTACACATGAGCACAGATCTTTTTGGATAAAATCAGATGGCCATGGGCTGGGGGTGTGGCCAGTGGTGGAGTGCCTAGCAAGCTGGAGGCTCCGAGTTCAACCTCCAGCGCCACCACCAAGCAGTGGCAAGCTGCCCACAGCACAGCAACTGGGAGCTGACAGAGACAATTGTGCACTTGACACATGTACCTTTTATGGAATGCAAGTTACACCTCCATAAAGCTGTATTTAAATTTTTATTTTATGTGTACCAGGGTTTTGTCTACATAGATGTCTGTGCGCCATGTACATGCAATGCCTGAGGAAGCCAAAAGAAGGCTGTTTCCACCGGAACCAGAGCTGCCGTCTGGGTGCTGGGAATGGAACCCAGATTCTCCGGAAGAGCACCTAGTGCTCTTAACCACTGAGCCATCTCTCCAGCTGCCAGTAAAGAGCTGTATTTTGGTAATAGGTCAAACCCCCGTTTCCAAGCATTGCAAAGCACGCTTACCTAACTTTTTCTTTTGTCTCTTCTTTTCTTCTAAGAGCAATGTGGTGATCTGACAGAGAGTATTGATACTGCCGTCCATCTCCTTCAGCATCTCGGGCAGCAGCTCCATCTGCGCAATCCAGTGGAGGTATTCATCAACATCAATCTCGGCCACCTCCGACAGCACAAAATCTTGGAGAGAGTGAAAGGAAACCATCTTATGGAATTACGTCCACACAGGCTTGTGATATTTGGTAACTCGACGACACAGCTCCATTGGGGAATAGAATTACCTGTGCTTAGTGCTATTCTGAGCCTTTTCTCTATTAAATAGTTATACAGGAAGAGACCTGGATAGAAGCCCACACAGTTAAATCAGCGAGTTAAGAAAATATTATCCAGGTTAAAAAGGCCTGAGTTTGCCTCCCTTCCTCGGCCCATCTTGCCTCCTTCATCTGCGAGTCCCTCGGCTTTTCTGCATGATTTAACCTCTCCACCTCTATTTACTTTCTCCCTTCCCTCTGAACCCAGCCAGACACTCACTCCATTCTTCTAGCCAGGACAGAAGTTTGGTGAGAAGCTTTTCTCTGATATCAATACTCTTAACGTGCCCAGCTATCTTCTCTAAGAACACCTTTCTCTTCTTTCTCTGGCTCTCTGAGATGGAGCCTCTCTTCCCAGGAGAGGTGCTGTCAATGGCATAGCGCGTCATTATCAGCTCCACTTTGCTCATTATTTCGATCAGCCGGGAAAGAATAGCCTGTGAAAGGGAGGAATAACAGGTTAGTTTGTGTGGTGGTTTGAATAGAAGTGCCCCCATTGGTCCAGAGGGAGAGGCACTGTAGGAGGTGTGGCCTTGTTGGAGTGGGTGTGGCTTTGTTGGAGGAAGTGCATCACTAGGGATGGGCTTTGAGGTCTCAGGTGCTCAAGCTAGGCCCGGTGTGTCTCTCTATTCTTGCTGCCTGTGGATCCGAATATGGAACTCTCAGCTGCCTCTCCAGCACCGTGTCTGCCTGCGTGCCACTGTGCTTCCTGCCATGATGACGTCGGCTAAACCTCTGAACTGTAAGCCAGCCCCGATTGAATGTTTTCCTTTATAAGAGTTGCTGTGGTCATGGTGTCTCTTCATAGCAATAGAGACCCTAAGGCAGAAGCTGGTACCAAGGACAGTATTGTTGTGATAGGCCTGGCCATGCTTTTGTTTGGAGGAATGTGGACTTGGGGACTTTGAATGAGAAAAGCAGCTGAATGCTTGAAGTGGGGCTTCCAGGGCCATCCTAGTAGCAGCAGGGAAGGCAGTGGTGCTGAGGGTTTGGTCCAAAAGGTTTCAGAGAAGAATTTTAGTATGTGGCCTAGAGGTCGTTCTTGTACATTTTGGTGAAGAATGTGGCTGGTTTTTGCCCTTGTCCAAGCAAGGAGTCTGCTGCAGGCTAAAGTGGAGAGATTTGGATTAATTCCATTAGCAAAGGAACTCTCGAACAGCCCAGTATAGACTCTGTTGTGTGGTCATTAGTGCTCACTCTTATGGAGATTTACAATGCAAAGGAGCAAGCTGAGCAAGGAAAAATACAAAAGGACAGTTCAAGAAAGGGGATGGAGCACCGGGAAAAGGAATGGAGCTAAATCCCGTGTTCCAGGAGGTCAACAGATTAAAGCAAAGCCCGAAGTTAAATGGAATAAAGGGAGCGGTGACCTCAGGGAAGACCCCACCCTGCTGAACTTCTACCTTATGAAAAGGAATTAAAGAACAGCTTTTAGGTCCAGTCACAGTGGCACATGCCCTTTATCCTAGCACTCAGGAGACAGAGGCAAGCAGGTCTTTGAGTTCAAGACTAGCCTCACCAGGCAGTGGTGGTGCATGCCGTTAATCCCACCACTCAGAAGGCAGAGGCAGGCAGATTTATGTGAGTTCGAGGCCAGCCTGGGCTACAGAGTGAGTTCTAGAAAAGGCACAAAGCTATACAGAGAAACCTTGTCTCGAAAAAACAAACAAACAAACAAACAAACAAAAAGACTAGCCTGGTTAACAGAGCAAGTTCTAGTACAGCCAAGCCTAGGCAGTGAAGATAACCATCGAGAACAGCAAGCTGGTGAAGATGTAATTGAATGGGGCTGGGGGCCGTGTTCCAGCCCCAGTAAGCAGCGGAACCTGGCAGCTTCAGCCACATGGCTCTGGCTTTAGAGTTAAGGATGGAAGAAACAGGTTATGGAATCTCCCTCCATGACTAAGGAGACCAGGCATGTGTCAGGGGTGGCCCTGAATGGAGGCTTAGAGAGGCCATTGTGTGAAGCTGTGAAGTTGAAGCCTGGATTGCCTTGGAGACTCCAAGATGTTGGAGATGCTAGAGCCATGAGGTAACTGCTGAGGAAAGCTGCTAATGAGAGTGGAACCGCCCCAAGAGGAAGAAGTGTGCTGCAGTCAACCAAGCTGAAAGGAGCTGGAGTCTGAAGAGCGCTTTGACACCAGACATGGAGACGCAGAGTTTGGAGTTTGCCTAGCTGGTTTTCAGTCTTGCCTTTGTCCAGTATTTCCTCAATGTCCTTCCCTTTCCTCCCTTTTGGAATGGTAATGTATATCCTGTGCCATTATATGTTGGAAGTATGTGATTTGCTTTTTTATTTTGATTTGACAGGGAATTACAGTTAAGAGATTAAGTGAGTCTCAGAAGAGACTTTGAACTTTTAAACAGTGCTGATACTGTGCTAGACTATGGGGACTTGAAGTTGGACTAAATGCGTTTTGCATTATGATATAGATATAAAGCCTATGGGGGCCAGGGAATGCAACAAGTGGTGATTTGAATAAGAATGATCCCCAAAGGGAGTAGTGCTCCTAGGGGGTGTGGCCTTATTGGAGGAAGTCTATCACTGCGGGAGCCAATGAAATGTTTTCCTTTATAAGAGTGGCCACGGTCACAGTGTCTCTTCACAGCAATAGAAACTCTAAGACCATCTGAAAATAAATCTGGGGCATGTTTACTCTCAGAATGTCAGTAATCAACATAAACCTGACCTGTTCAAGTCTTGCTAGGGTAAGATGGCTCAGTGGTTAAAAGTGCCTGCTGCCAAGCCTGAGGACCCGAGTTTGGTCCCTGGGATCCACATAGTGTTAGAAAAGAACTGACTCCGGCAAGTTGCCTTCAGACTGCTACATGCATGACCTCTCACATACAACCAAACACCAAACAAACAAATAAAATAGAATTTTAAAAAATTCTTTGTTTTGTTTTATTTTTGTTTTTCAAGACAGGCTTTCTCTGTTTAGCCCTGCCTGTCCTGGAACTCACTATGTAGACCAGGCTGGCCTTGAACTCACAGAGATCCACCTGCCTCTGCCTCCCGAATGCTGGGATTAAATGCGTGCACCACCACCACCTGGCGAATTTTTAAAAATTCTTAAAGTCTTGTTAGTTAACTTGAGCTTTTGGGTGACTGGCCAAGAGGACTGTGAGTCCTAGGCCAGCCTGGGCAATATAGGAAGACCCTCCCATGTCAAAAACAAATGAAGTGTCCCTAGTATGGCTTTACTGAGTCCCAGATTTTCTCTTATCTAAAAAAAGAAAAGTCTTAGGTCAGGTGTGGCGGCTCATATCTGCAGTCACAGCACTCAGGAATTACAAGCAAGAATTCAAGGCCAGCCTAGGCTATTTAGGGGGTTTGAGGCCAACCTGGGCTACATGAGACCCTGTCTCAACAACTCTTCATATAAACAAAAAACAATTTTTTAGCTTTTATCTTCTAGCAAGACTGAACATCATTGGGTTTTGACCTGGCTGTTGGGTTTCAGCCCTGACCTTTTGATGGGTCCCTTGAAGGGAGGAGTGAAGAATTGAGAAATAGTAGGAAGAAATATAGACATAGACGGAGAGAAAGATGGAGACATAGCATAGCTTCAGGAGGGCCCTGGGTCAATAACCAGCAGCCTCAAGTTTATTTCTAATGGACTTTTTATACACTAGCAAGGGGAAAGGCAAAAGGCCTCTCCCTTTCAAGATCAAAGCACAATGTGCAATAGACCCTTCCAAACACCTGGAAACCACGCCCCATGGCAACGCATCTTGTGATTAGGCCTTGAAGTATAAGACACCTGGTAACCATGCCTTTGCACCCTATTATGCAGCCTTGGAGAGCAACATCAACTCTGACTCTCTGACCTTGAGTCATCACAAGTTGTAATCTTTGTGGGCTCTCACAGCTGGCCTGGGACCCAGCTGTGGCACTTTTGTTAAAATAGCATTTGGTGTGACTTAACATCTCCGAATGGCCTCTGTGTTATTTATAAAGCTAGACTATCAAAAGCAAAGTGTAAATTGCTTCCTTGCCATGGTAGTGGGCATTGAGCTGAGGCCTTGCACATCCTCTGCAGGCACCCTACCAGTAAACCGGTGTGTTTGGAATCCCAGCACGTGGGGGATGGAGGCAGAAAGATCAGAGGTTCAAAGTCATCCTTGAATACACAGGACATTTGAGGCTAGCCTGGGCTACAAAAGACCCTGTCTCAAACAAACAGTGAAAAACTGTACAAACACACTTGTCAGACTTCTCAGAGAGAGGGGTTACTAGTATCTTCTAAGAAGGCACTGAGGGGTCTGGTGATATGGCTTCACCGGGAAAGGTGCTTGCTGCCAAACTGACAAGTGGAGTTTCATCCCCAGATCCTACTAATGGCAGGAGGGAACTGACTCCTGAGGGCTATCCTCAGACCTCCACACGGTGCTGTGGGATGTGAGCACTCGAACACACACATGTTATTTAGCTGCGTTGTGTTCTTACCCTGCAAGGAAACGTCACGAAACACGACAGAATCCGCTTATAAGAGTTTATTAGAAATACAGGGATAGAGAGTGCACAGGCCTGTGGGAGAGACACGTGCGTGGAGAAGAAGAGAGGACCGGGAATATGGTGCTCCGCTTTAAAAACCGGCTGGGGGCGTGGCCAGGTCACGTCACTACTCCACGCGTGTGCGTAGATCACATGGTCACGTTGCATGCTTACGGAGCCATGTAATGTCACGGATTCTGGTCACGCGAGATGCCTTGGCCGGAACTTGGCGGAGGTGTCCGGCCTGACCGGAATTGGCTAGGCGGAAGTGTCCGCCTGGTAAATGGGACCGTGTTGTGAACCCTTCAACACACATGCATGAGCGTGCACACGAACACCTATGCGCGCGCGCACACACACACTCACACACGTACAACACCTGTGCTGATTAGTCTGTTGTAAAACTTGACACAAGAAGGGTCATCTGGTGGCTTAGTCAGAGTTACTTTTACAGCCATGGAACAGCATGACCAAAAGGGACTTGGGGAAGAAATGGTTTATTTCGCTCACAGTTCTATAGAACAGTTCATCATCAAAAGCAGTGAGGGCAGGAACTCACACAAGACAGGAACCTGAGGCAGGAGCTGCTCCAGAGGCCATGGAGGGGTGCTGTTTACTGGCTTGCTTACAGCCCGACCTCATGGAGGCATTTTCTCAGCTGAGGCTCCCTCCCCGACTCTGAGGACTCTAGCTTGTGTCAAGGTGTCATAAAACTATCCAGCTCATCAGTCAAGAGGGAACATCAATTGAGAAAATGTCCCCATCAGACTGGTCTGTAGGCAAGCCTTTGAAGCATTTTCTTGATGAAGGGTTGATGTGGGCAGGCCCAGCCTCTGTGGGTGATACCACCCCTGGGAAGGTAGCCCTGAGTCATATAAGAGAGGAAACTGAGCAAGGTGTAAAAAGCGAGACAGTGAACAGCTCTCCTCCGTGACCTCT